GGCACGCTACTCTGTCAGGCGGCACCGCCCCGCCCGGGGCACTCGCCGTCCCCGCTGCCCCACACTCCCGCCGCTGCCGCTAGCTCGGCCTCCCCGCGCCGCCCCGGCGCCTTCACCCTTGCCCGGCCACACGGAGGCCTCACACAAACCTACCGAGGCTAGACCCAAACCCAGCGCCCGCCGCCAGGAAGCGGCTCCCCGGGTCCCCTCACACGGGCAGGAAGGGGCTGAGCCGCCCTCGCCGCTGCTCAGCCCCGGCACAGCGCGGAGAGGCCGCCCCCAGCCCTGCTAGCGCAGCGGAAGGCGGGGTGAGGGGAGGGGGGGGACCTGCGGCGGCGGCGGCGACGAGCCTTTCCCGGCGGCTTGGGTGGAGTCCGGTGTCCCGGTCCGGCTTGTTCCCCGCCCCGAGAGGCAAACGCTTCTCCGGTTGGATTCCGCGGTCGGTTTTAGTGCGTGAAGATGGATGAAGTTTAAGTTCCGTAGGTTTCTTGCACGACTTTACAGGGTCGTTTATAGTGTTTCACCGTGAGAGCCCCGGAGGCAGGGAGGCTGTGCCCGCGGCCCGCGGCTGCTGTGGGGAGGCCAGGCCGCGCTCCCCCTGCCGCGCTCCCCTCTGTTAGTGGGGCGCTATTCGCAGCCTGAACACTCTTAAATCTGCTATTTCAGCCAGTGAACTACCTAGGCTTATTCCTGCCCTTTTTTACCCCCTCTACAGATAGCTGCATGCTGCTGCCTGTCACACAGCTGGTTCGCCGGCCCTTCCGCTACATCCGTGCTTCGGGCCGCCTGCCCTCACGCTCCCTCATGAATCTCCGGGAGCTCGTTTCTGCCCTGAATGACTTTGCATCCCTCTCTCTGGCTGAAAGCTGGGACAATGTGGGGTTGCTGGTGGAACCAAGTCCTCCCCACACTGTGAACACCCTTTTCCTCACTAACGATCTCACTGAGGAGGTGATGGAAGAGGCAGTGCAGAAGGCGGTAGACCTTATTCTTTCTTACCACCCTCCTATATTCACACCACTCAAGCGAGTAACGTGGAAGACCTGGAAGGAACGGCTGGTAGTCCGAGCCCTGGAGCACAGAATCGGGATTTACTCTCCGCATACCGCATATGATGCCATACCCCATGGAGTCAATAACTGGCTAGCAAAGGGACTCGGTGAGATTCTGTTAAACAAAAAAAAAGGTTAAAGTTAGTCATCAGTATATGTTATTTTATGTGGGGACCTTCCCTCATTTTCCTTTCTTCCAGCTTTTACAGGTACGATTTGAGTACTTTCTTTTTTTCTTTTTTTCCCCCAGTATTCTTCTAGTACTTCTAAGTACCCTAAACACATTTTAGGGAATTTATCTTGGTGAGGAATACCAGATACAAACACTAGAGGACATTGTCAGATGCATACTACATTGGATGTAGTCGGAACTGGTGCAGCATATTTATTGTCCATCTGGGTTGCAAAGTTTAGACCACTGACTTTAAATCACCACCTTTAATTTATAAAATGCAAGATCTCATTGTTTGCAAAGGACTTAAGGTATCTGAAATTCTTTTAGATTTTTATCCTGCATTGTGGCTCATAAATGAAAACAGCTATGTCTTTTCCAGCCTGATTTACAAACCAGAAACTATTTTGGTTTTGTACAATTCTTAGGATAAAACAGATGGCATTAAGAGTGACAAATAATATATATCCATCACCTTCTTTGCATTTAAAATAGACTGTGCCTAATGGAGGCAACAGGGCAAGAAGTCCTCAGTTCTGGTCAGGAAAAATGGATTCAAGTGCAAAATTTGCATCTTTTTGTTACATCTGTAGGATATGTGCTAAATCAGTATTAGGATACTTATCCAGCTTTATAAAACAGCAACCTCGTACTGTTTTCTCAGGTGCCTGTACTTCTGTGCCACTGCATCCATCAACTGCGCCAAGCTATCCAGCTGAGGGCACTCACCGGGTAGAATTCTGCGCAGACAACACTGAGCATCTGGACACGGTGCTGTCCAAAATCAAAGACATCCAAGGGATCTCCTGTCTCACTACTCTCCCTGCCAGGTATCTGCTTCACTCCCTAATGTTGTATTCTTTCTGTTGTTTGAAACAATAAGTTGCTGGAATTGTATTTTACGGTTGTAGTCACTTTGTTCCTCTGTACATTGCTGCTATTTTTTTCAGCAACAGATGTAGAAACTTCAGAAATAATCATCCCTTTCTGATCAATCTATGTTATGCTAAATGGTAACAGCAAGTCAGTGTAGCATCACATAGATTAGAGGTGGTAAAGAAGAGTATTGACAGGAAATTTGATGAGGACAGTTGAGTTAAATTCCCATATGTGTTTCTTCCAAGAGACTAGACTAGACTAGGCTAGGCTATTGCAATGCCTTCTTTTTTCCTTTCTCTGTGGTAGAATAGCCACTGGGATAGAATAGCTTTGTTTTGTATTAATATGATGCTGAAATTTTATCCAGTTTCTTAACAAGCATCAAGCATATCTTTTCTCAGGGTTGAAGGTGAGGAGCAAACAAGAGTCAGTTTGAACTGCTCTCAGAAAGCACTGTTGGAGGTGGTGGCATTATTGTCCCAGAACAGCCGCCTTTATCACAAGACCGAGATTCTCTTATTACAAAAGGTAACAAAATCACGTATTACTTCCAGTGAATGTATTACTTGTGTGAGCTGAGTGCCCTAAACACTGAAATCCAGTAGTGCAGTAGCATCACAGGTTTCCTGTGCTCCCCCGTCAGTGCTCTGAAATACTGGCCTGTGGGGATTTGAAGCCACGCACATTTTCCAAAACAATGAAAATTTGTGTGGCCTGTACTAATTCTTAAATCAGTTCCAATAGCTAGGGTAGTTAATATGTTACATTCAAGAATATCACATACAAATTTTTTCATAAAGTTCAGAGGCATTCCTGAATGCCCAATATACTCATCTTTGTACAGTGTGGAAAGCAATGCAAACTTCTGGAGTCAGCTTTCTCACAATAATTTTAATTTCTTTTCAGCCTCTTCTTCCCCATACTGGAATGGGACGTCTGTGCACACTGAGCGAGCCTGTCTCCTTGTCAGACATAATTGAGCGTATCAAAAGCCACCTAAAATTACCCCACATCCGCTTAGCCATGGGAATGGGCAAGACACTAGGTAAACAGGCCTGCAAGTAAGACTGTCCATTAGAACTAGTATTCCAGGAAGACAAGGAGCATGAGTGCGTGCATGAGTGTGTGAAATACTGCTGCTTTGGATAGGTTTACTTCCAAGTAGTATGAAGCACTGTTAAAGACAAGAAACAGCATTTTAGAATTTACATGTTACAATCACGCAAAAAGAATCTCATCTGTATTTTTAATTGGAATTTCTGTATTATGCTGGTTGTCACTGTGCAGAAGGGACAGTACAAGTTGAATACGAGACATCCTTTTTCATAATTTGCATAATGACTAAGATTTCCCCCCCCCAGGATATCAGACACAAATGTGTACCATTTCATTGTACACTCCCTTTTGCGACTGAATGTTAAATTTCAAAGCACCTTAAAATAGTAAGATACTTTATGGTATCCTTATGAACATGTAACCATCCATGTTTTGATGAAAGAGAAATAGTGGCAAAGAAGGTGAACTATCCTAGCTCAGACAGTGGGTCACTAGTAAAACGTGGAGCAAGTGTCCTCTTATGCCAGTTACCTATCCTAATCTTCAAGGAGCACAGCTATAAGAATTTGTGAGAGCAAATTTGTTGAGAGCTCTTTGTAACTTATGAGACAGAAGTCTTATTAGAAGCCTCTTATACTATCAATTGCTCCGAAAAAAACCCAAACTATTTTGAAGCCTCTCATTATGGTGTGGGATTGTAGTGGTGTGACTCCACTTAAATCAACAGTAATTACAAGGCAACACACTGTAAAACCTTAATAGAATTTGAAAACTCACTGTCTGTGTCATCTGTCCCCTCTCCCTAGTGAATGTAATACATATGGAGAATTAAATTTCCTGTCACTATCACATATGTAATAGCTTGGAATCAGCAATCGTAGCAAATGGGCAAATTTTTAACGGCATGGAGCAGCTCTCAGCTTGCGTTGAGATTGGCCTTCTGAGAGCTAAAATTTAGAAACCAGTGTATCTCAGAGGCAAAATGCTGCCTTAGTGGCATCGTTAGTTGGAAGACTAATGATGATGGAACATGAGAGTCCTGGAAAGAATAGCAGCCTACTAAAGAGTTCAGAAAGCTAAGTAACACCTCACTAGGGGAGAACTAGCCAGCAGCCAGCCTCCGTGCTGTAGTTTTCTGCAAACTTTCCTACCCCTTGAATAAGAAAAATCTACACGTCTATTTGGTACACAGACGATTTTGCTGTATTATCAGAGATGTTATAGGCCCATGACTCTTTCAAACTGACAGATGTGTCTCTTCCTCCAACAAATTTACATTGACCCTAAAATCAAGGTAGCAGTTATTGTGAAACAATTAATAGCAATACTAACATGAGGGCTGAACGCAGGGAAAGGAGTTTAACTGTGGCACCTTGTATCCTGCAGAATCACCAGTGAAGAAAGCTGCTCTGTGTGCTGGTTCTGGAAGCAGCGTCCTGAAAGGAATGGAAGCTGACCTCTATCTCACAGGTAAGATTATGTTGCTGTTTTGTTATCTTTATAAAAATAGTCACTAGAAAAAAAAAAAAGAAGAGGAGAGTTGACTGGCTGTTGAAAGATTTGGCTGGAAAGAATTACCTGTTATAATTGAGAAACAATCAGTTAGTTATCGGAATGATAGAAGAATAACGTTAAAGTAGAGAGATCATGGATCAGATGGCTGTGTGGCACAGTGAAGGTTATTTGAACTAAAACATTGCTATACGTGCATTATTTCAACACAAAATCAGTGTTGATGGCAATCTATTGCAACCTTCAGTGTGTTTCTCCTTTGGCAAGATACAAGGTATTTCCTCAGTTCCCTACAGAATTCCCTAATGGAAAATGGAATATAATGCGGTCTACAGAATCTTCCAAAGGAACCCCATAGTGTATCTGACCAAAGGGACACTTAGTCCATTATCCTCTTTTCCAACAGCAGGACAGCTACTCCTTACAGCTTGCTCAACGATATGAAGGCTGCCTTGCATTCTGTAGTACTTAATTCAAGCAAGTTCTTTGGCAAGGCATGTCCCATCTCCCCCTTATGTACAGCCCTGCAGAGCTGACCGTCAGACAACTTCTTCACAAGGCTTCCCAATTGCTATCCTCCATCACAGCAATCCACATGACATCCAGACAGTCCACTTCCAAATTGCTCTGCACACTCTTATTTCCTGCCCAAAGTGGCAGAATCTACCACTATTCAGAGGGCAAGGAATTTCTGTGGTTTTGTCTCAGTTGTATACGGGGGGTATCAGCTGAAAGTCCTTCAAGGGATACTAGAGTAGGAGTATTGCGTTCCCCCTTATGGGCTATATCCCCTTGTTACGTCTTCCCAGCTTCTAGCTAAGATTCTGCATATATTGCAAAGAACTGGTTACCTAAACTGTACTGTTAGTGATCTACATGGCATTTCTTTCTCAAAACGGCAGGAGAGATGTCCCACCATGACGTTCTGGATGCAGTTGCCAATGGGATAAGTGTTATTCTGTGTGAGCACAGTAACACTGAGCGAGGCTTCTTGACAGAGCTGTGTGACATGCTAGCTATCCACCTACAGAACAAGATCAACATAATTGTGTCTGAGAAAGATAGAGATCCCCTCCAGGTGGCATAGGAAAAAAAAAATAGGAGTGAGAGAATTCAGTCAAGAGTTTCATGGTATCTTGCACAGACCTATCCAACTGCAAGCTTAATTAGGATGGTCTGAATTGGTTCAGTACAGAATGACTATATTACATGTTCCCTCAAAGTTTGGGATATATTTTGTCATCTGTCAGATAAATAAATGCTTGTTTTGGGCTACAGAAGGCTGATTTACTCAATTACTGGACTGCACTTGAATAAGTTTACTGTTACTGCACACTCTTATTAGATATATTTGATAACTATGATACTCAGGGATTGGTTTGGGTAAAATATAAAAACCTGACTTATCTCCAGTTTTAAGCTTACACAGCAGTTCCACCCTACTGCAGTACAAGTCACTGATATTTTAGCTAATAAATCTCCTGATAATAGTTAATGAAAGGGTGTAGATCACGCATTTGCATTAACAGTTTTACTAAGACACGACTCATATGCAAATGGGGGCCGGTCTTGTTCAATATCTTTATCAATGATCTGGATGAGGGGATCGAGTGCACCCTCAGTAAGTTTGCAGACGACACCAAGTTGGGCGGGAGTGTTGATCTGCTCGAGGGTAGGAAGGCTCTGCAGAGGGACCTGCACAGGCTGGATCGATGGGCCGAGGCCAACTGTATGAGATTCAACAAGGCCAAGTGCCGGGTCCTGCACTTCGGCCACAACAACCCCATGCAGCGCTACAGGCCTGGGGAAGAGTGGCTGGAAAGCTGCCCAGCGGAAAAGGACCTGGGGGTGCTGGTCAACAGCCGGCTGAACATGAGCTGGCAGCGTGCCCAGGCGGCCAAGAAGGCCAATGGCATCCTGGCCTGTATCAGAAATAGTGTGGCCAGCAGGAGTCGGGAAGTGATCGTGCCCCTGTACTCGGCCCTGGTGAGGCCGCACCTCGAATACTGTGTTCAGTTTTGGGCCCCTCACTACAAGAAGGACATCGAGGTGCTGGAGCGTGTCCAGAGAAGGGCAACGAGGCTGGTGAGGGGTCTGGAGAACAAGTCTTATGAGGAGCGGCTGAGGGACCTGGGGTTGTTTAGCCTGGAGAAAAGGAGGCTCAGGGGAGACCTCATCGCTCTCTACAACTACCTGAAAGGAGGTTGTAGCGAGGTGGGGGTCGGTCTCTTCTCCCAAGTAACTAGCGATAGGACGAGAGGAAATGGCCTCAAGTTGCGCCAGGGGAGGTTTAGATTGGACGTGAGGAAAAATGTCTTTACTGAAAGAGCGGTTAAACATTGGAACAGGCTGCCCAGGGAAGTGGTTGAGTCACCATCCCTGGAAGTATTTAAAAGACGTGTAGATGAGGCGCTTAGGGACATGGTTTAGTGGGCATGGTGGTGTTGGGTTGACGGTTGGACTCGATGATCTTAGAGGTCTCTTCCAACCTTAATGATTCTATGATTCTAAATATAGAACACAATTCAGGTATTTGGTACTAGTATTCAATTGCACAATCTACCATTAATGCAGCTTTAAGGCTTTTTAATAGAGGGAGTCTCAGTTAAAAAAGCTTTGGAAGGTTAAAACTCAATTCCTTAACAAAGCTGCAAATGCATTTAGTGTGCCTTTGTTACTTTCTTTTAAAAAAGAGTTTCTATAACTATGGCTCTTAATTACAGGATTACTAAAACTGAACAAGTAGCATTTTCACCACTGATAATGCTTGGTTTTTATTTTTTAAGTTAGTTTTTTTGTTGTGATTTTTTTTTTTTTAAGGAAAAAAAAATGTCCCAGTTGCATACCTTACCATCTCTGGATTATGTGTACACCAGAAGAATATTTAAACAAAATGAAAATATTTCCATTGCAAATTTGTAAAGATCTTGGCACCATCTTTTTAAGTTAATAAAACTGGCTCATCAAGCAATGTCTTTACTGCATAATTGCACATCTCGTTCCACTTAAACGTAAGCGGAAAGAGATGACTCCAGTATAATCTGAAGCTAGTGAGGCTACATAAAGGCCATCATTCTTATCAATACCATGAAGACCTCTCAGTAAGCTGAGGAACAGGAAGTGGGAAGAAATTTCTTCTTTCCCAAGTAAAGGAAAGGACTGTAGAAGTGATCCCTCCAAATCCAACAGTTCTGTATTGCTATAGAATACATTAAAATGCTACTGCCTTAGTACATATACAGAATTTAAGAGACAGAAAATTAATGCATAGATGGGGTAGTTGTCCAGAAACAGCATGAAATCAGGATAAAATACTTTTAACACAAAACCCACAGGAAATAATTCACAGTAATTTTCTTTAGCTTGCATGCTTGCATCACAGAATCAGCAGCAGCCAAAAACTGATTCAAACTTAACCTTCTCTTAGCAGATGTGTGGTATCTCCTGCAGCCCTCCTCTTGGCCTGTATGGGCATCTGGTAGTCTACCAAAACTGTTAGCAGATAACTCTGAACTCAGGATGATTATAGCACTTCATTAAAGTAAATTTCACATTTAGAAAACCAGATATAATTGCACTGAAAATGCACCATGGTATTACTATCGGTAAACACATTAGGTGGTGTCTTCCATATGTACTCTGATATAAATTATATCTTGAGTTTCATAGGAACTGTGGAGAGAGTCGAAGGACTGCAAAATAGGATGTGGTGGCTGCTTGGCTGCAATACTTTTTAAGTTTTTCCAAGAACACATCTCTTCAAGTGGCAGAGTTCTTGTTCTTGAACTCTACACCTAACTTATAGAACTTGGGTAAGACACAATGCCTTGATCCCAGTTTTAGTGATTCTGATGGTAGCCTAAGTGGTGATTGTCATGGTTTAACCCCAGCCAGCAACACCACACAGCCGCTCGTTCATTCGCCCCTCATGGGATGTGGGAGAGAATCGGAAGAGTA